ACTACAAAGCGAGTTACAGATTAAACACTTTAGAAAATAGGTAGTTTCTGTGTTAATTTTGATAAAATGGTAATATTTAAGTTTTACAAAACATATCGTCGACTTGGATGCTAAAAAAATGAATAGAGGACAATGTGTTAAGATAACAAAATCAAAATAGAAACTGACCCAATCACAAGGTTCTTTGATGGCTTCTTCACGTTTAAATTGATCTGATGTTAAACGGTCTCGTCGTCGATTTTCTAACATCAGGCAATAGCGAAGAATAAGAGTAGCAATTAAGCTAGCAGTTATTATTCCAATACAAATAAAACATGCGCGACGATTGTTTGACAGATTATTATGATAAATCTAAAAACAAAAATATCACAGTTCATAATGTCCTACAGTCAAATACAATTTGTGATAAATATGTAATGATTTTACAAATTTTTACAAGTAGAAATCTCACCAAAGGTAATATTATACCACTAATTTGACCGATTCCCATAATAAAGCCAACAGCCGTTGCTCTCTTGGTTTGACCGTCGACATTATTTGTTAACCAAGAGACAACAAGAGAAAATGCTGACAATACTCCAGTACAAGCGACACAAATACTGATATAGATGGCCACTGTTCCGCGATCGATCAGAGCAATCATTAGAATGAGTCCAAGCAATGCCACTACTAGACACAGTATCAGATGATAACCATGATTATTCCAACGTGATGATGAATAACCAATCAGTAAACAGAAAATACATGCGATAATGTACAGTGGTGCTATCATTAAATGTACTTTTGGTTGATAAGAACCCATACCATCGATTAGTACTAATGGAAGAAACATTGTAAGATATTTATTAACAGCAGAAATGCAGGTATAAATCAAAGCATAAAAATAGATTCGATAATCGATAAAAACATAGTATACTTGTCGCCACATAAGTCCGGTATATTGTGTGAAATCATCATTGACTTTGCCTGCATCACTTCGAAGACGATTTGTTAGTGCCATCTTTTCAGAGTTGGTGAGCCCTACATTTTTTCAAATAATTCAGAATATCTACTACTTTTTTATGAATTCTTACATTGAACAGCATTAGGTATTTTGTAGAGAAAAAATGGGGTGATAATTCCAAGTGGTATTAACAGTACACTCTCCAGCAAAAACATCCATTGCCAGTTGTTTAAATTGCGAATACCATCCATAAAGGTAAAACCATATGCCTAGATTAACAATAATCATTGAAACTATCACTTCAAAATGGAATGATATCTCGAAAAAAAGATCAAACAGTACGTACTAAAACACCACTCAAAGCATCGGCAACCATCGAAGCTGCAAATAATATCGCTATTCTCATGGTTTGCTGTTTTTTACAGTACCACAATGAGAAATAGCTGATGATTCCAGGAAAGTAACCAGAGACAGTTATGCCCTTAAATGTCGAATTAAATATGTTCTTTGATTATAGGAACCAACTTACGAGAAAAGCACGAACAGCCATTAATGATCGAGCATTCGTGACGAAAGCCAGGCCAATTGAAATACTACCCCAAGCGATCAGTGAGAGTGATAAATAATAAGTCAACCCGATCCAGCGCATAAATGCGATGTTAGGGATTTCAAAAATCAACTAAAATCAAAGACACATTAATACTTATTGAAATTTATTCGTATAATTTTAGTACGTAGGTCATAAAGAAGATTGAAACGACCCATTTCATCTCAGAATCTGACATATGTAGATCATTTTGAATTCCCATAAGGTTGGCATGACCTAATAGAACATTATCAGCAATGAATAATTTGATTCATAATACATACTAATGTTTGTCCGATTTATATACTGAAGAATTCTCAGCAGAACGAAAAAAGGAATCAATCTTTGATCAGCTTTTCTAGTTATGCGGTTATTGTAGGTACTTCTGAATTGTTGCCATATTGTTTCAACGAAAACAGGAATGATATATATCTCTTCCGTGATTGCTGTTGCTGATTGCACTACCATTGATTAGATATGATATTTTTTGTCAATAATATGAAATCACTTGTATCTTATACGTATCTGACTTGGTATTTCCCAAGCGACCACGTTGAGCCACCTGTATGATACTTTTTTTTTGTCCGTTCTATCGAGAGAATATTAAATTAGAAAGAGCATATGACAAAAATACACTTACAAAGACGACAAAGTAATTCTGATTAATCAAAATCATGATTTCCATTTATACAAAAAAATATCATTGATAACAATTGTATAAAATTGATTTTTAACATTTTCCACATATGTTGTGAAAAGCATCATGATCATGCCGTAAAAATTGTAATATTTTTTATATTCATATCTACATATAAAATGTATTTTTATAATTGAAAATAAATATTTTTCAGTTTTATATCATGACGATTTTTTACAACAGACAGAAAAAAACCATTGAAAGCCAATATTGTTAATCTTTGCATAGGTTTTAGAGCGTATTTTTTTAAACTAATAATGGTGTCTATAACGAATAGACAATATGAATTGAAGTTACGTTTGAATGTGTGCAACGTCCAAACACGTGGATTAAAGACAAAAGGATGAGAATGAGTTCGAAAATATTTAAATCAAAACAGAAAGCATAATTATAAATTATCAAAGAATCATCCACTTTCATATCATTTGTTCACAGACGTCTCCATCCATTCCTATTCGTATAAATATTCACAGGGTATTGTCGCTGAAAAACAGAAATAAACGGATGATTGAGATATTGCATGTTATCTTTGGTAATTCCATTACTTGTTGAATTGATGTTTATTTCAACAATAAGTTAGCTTCATATATAGTTACACACACACAAGTTACTACTTTTTCTTCATCTTACTCTGTAAAAAAAAAAGTTGTCAGACTGAACCTTAAAAGGTTCTAGATTTGGGTACCATTTTAAGATCCTTTTAAAGTTCAAGCATAATCAGGTTCTATCTGGTACCTTTTTTTCCTGCGTGAAAAAATGGTTCTATTCGGAGAAAAAAACGTCCATGTAACAGCCCCGATCCAGTTCTCTTAATATCCTCAAGGTTCGTTGTGGAAACCTAGCTAGGCGCAATAATCCAATCGATCTCTTGTCAACGAGATCGAGAACTCCGATACCTAACAACGAATCTTTACGACCTTGTTTATCATTGTACTCATCCAAACTTGCAGCAGGCTGAACAACACCAGATATTCTCTTCTCTCTCCAAAAAAGCTGTTGTTTACTGTTCACACGATCCTAAATGAGAACAACAATAATTTATTGCGCAAGACAGAAGTTTCCAATGAATTGTTATTTATCATGAACCTAAATAGAAAACAAAAATTATTATCTAAATAGAAACTTACCATTGAATTGTTATTTGTCAACAACCTAAACAGAAAAAAAACTTATTATTCAAATATAAACTTACCTTTCAATTCTTATTTGTCATCAACCTAAACAGAAAGAAAAATTGTTTCTTATTTAAGTAGAAACTTACCACTGAAATGTTATTTATCATCAACCTAAATAGAGCAAAAATTGTCTAGCATTTGAACAGAAATTTACCTTTCAATTATTATTTGTCATATACCTAAATAGAAAAAAAATTATTATTTAAATAGAAACTTACTTTTCAATTGTTATTTGTCATCAACCTAAATAGAAAAATAATTGATTATTATTTAAATATAAACTTACCATTGAATTGTTATTTGTCAGAAACCTAAATAGAAAGAAAAATCTATTATTTAAATAGAAACTTACCTTTCAAGTGTTATTTGTCAGAAACCTAAGTAGGAAGAAAAATTATTTGTCATGTGAATAAAAACTTACCATTTAATTGTTATTTGTCAGAAACCTAAATAAAAAAAATTGTTTATCATTTAAATAGAAATTTACCTTTCAATTGTTATTTGCCCTGAACCTAAATAGAGAAAAAAGCTGTTGGCGCAATCCCTTGGAGGATTAAAAGTGTGAAACACGATGAACCTATTGTTACGAATTAAATGGACAACGTTTACTTCCATTTCGTTAGGATAGATTGTAGCTGACCGTTTATTTGATGCTTCAAATCTACAGCTTCTCTGTAACGGTCTGTGCTGGTCTTTGAGGGTTCTCTGTCACGGTCTGTGATGGTGTCTGGAGGTTCTCTGTCACGGTCTATAATGGTCTTTGGGAGTTCTCTGTCATGGTCTGTGATGAGTATGAGTTTTCTCTGTCACAGTTTGTGGTGGAACAGATAGGCGAGGAGAGTGGGTCCAAAATTTCTACCCTATACACTGCAACAATCCTTTCAGATCGTGTTTCACAAAATTATGTAATAGAAGCTTACCTTTCAATTGTTATTTGTCACAAGCCTATATAGAAAGAAAAATTGTTTATTATCTAAATAAAAATTTACCACTGAATTGTTTTTGCCATTAACCTAAATAGAAAAAAATTGTTTATTATTTGAACAGAAACTTACCTTTCAATTGTTATTTGTCATCAACCTAAATAGAAAAATAATTGATTATTATTTAAATAAAAGCTTACCATTGAATTGATAATTGTCATAAATCTAAATGGATAAAAATGAATGTGTTTTAAGAGATACAACTTACTCTGGAACTGATTTAGTCTAAAATATATTTTATTTGAATAAATATCCGAAAAGTGATTCTTTTTGTAAGGTTTTGTAATAAACATAGTTATCTCTCAGTGCTCCAGATAGAATGAACACATGCAACTTGTTATATATTCTTTTTTATTCTATCTTTTTCTGGTGACAAAAATATAATAAAAAATTTAAAAGACAATAGTCACGTTACAATCAAGAACACATAAATTTATTACAATATCTATAGCAATATTTGATGAATTTACTGAAGATACATGGAATTTTAAAAAAGAAATCAAAATCTCAGCAGAACGACAATCACTGAATTCACGTTTCAAGTATATGGTAAAAGTTAATAAGAATAAGAATAAGGATAACGAAAGACAATTTTTAGAGAAGAAAATTCTCTGAATCAACCTGGAAAAGAAGAGACATTCTGTCGACTTCTTTTAGCTGCTAAACGTGATGACAGCTTTTGTTGTTTTGGTGATGATGGAAGTTTTCGTTTTTCACCTTTGGTTGTTGCAGTTGATGCTTCACTATTGATTGCATCTTTCAATACTTTATGTTGAATATTCGAAGAATTACTGAATTTCCTTTTTGTATCTGCTATTTGTTCGATTCCTGAATGTACAGCTGGTGATGATGCCGTTTTAATACCAACATCCATTTGTTCAGATTCATGGATTTGTATTAATGAATTATCATGTGGTTGTTGTTCTTGATCAGCTATTTTTAATGGTATTGATTGTGATGATTGTGGTGATTCATTTTCTCCTGTATTCACTGTTGTGGATGAATAAACACTTTCTGTTGTTGTTGCTGTTGAATGAACCTGTAATTGTTGTGCTGTTTGTATATAAACATAGTCAATAGAGTTTGTTGTTTGTGTTTGAGATTTTTTTGTTCGATCTTCAAATGTAAAATGCCATGAATTTAAAATAATTCGTAAATTTTTTCCAAGTTCATCTCCATTTTGGAAAAAAACACCATATAATAAATGAGAAGTATGATTGTTTTTGGCAAACTTAACTTCAAATACATTGTATAATGACAATAATAATGATAATGCTGTTGTTGGACTTGTTGTTTCTACGACAACTTGCCAATCAAGATACAATTGAAATTTTTCATTCGATACTTTAATACAAGGTGTTGGAACGACCGGCTCCTAAACGAAATATATAAGAAAAAAGGGATAATGCTGTTTGCAAAACAAATCAATAGTTTCATTCAGAAACGGAATCTTACATTATCAATTAAAATGTGACTAATTGATTGTTTAAATTGTTTACATAGCAGTTTTATTATTCGAATTGGCAACAAATCTACATAGAATGAAAAAGTGCGAGATATGAATAAAATATATTCTGTAAAAGATATGGGAAATTTAAAGCACAATAAAAAGTAAATTTGCATTTGGCTGTATAGAACGGATTGATTCACATCAAGAAACACGTCATTAGATTTTTAGATTATACTTTTTCCAAGAATGTCGAACTGAATATTTAAAAAAAAGAAAAAGGAAAACTTTAAATAAATAATAAGGTTTTTGTTTTGTTTTTTTTCATCTTGTAGCCCTGATACCATTATTTTAATTCTTCAGAAATAAATAACATCGGATTCATTAAATAGAAAAATAAAAATTGGAGACAAAAAGTGAGTGATCGAGGTATTCTCGAAACAATTAATTTTAAGATGTGAAAATGTCTTATCGATGTAATCGATAAGACAACAACTTTGTTAATTTTTTCAATTTTTACATTTTACTCACCCATAATAAATAATGTATTATTCGATAATTTATCAAATAAACGTGGTAATATTTCACTCACATTTTGTTCAATATCAACATTATCAATCATTTTTATTTCTTCAAAAATCTAAGATAAAGAAAAAATCATCAGTTTTGAATCAAAGCGGACCAAAACTATGAGAAAAAAACAACTTCTAAAAAGACTTACCAGACATGGATATGAATAACCAGGAAATTTTTCTAATACTTCATTTGTTGTGTGTGAACGAATGAATAATCGACGATAACCGAATGTTTTTTTCCATAAGGTACTCAATACGTCGTTATGTATTGTTCCATTTTGAGTACCTTCTTTCATTGTTGTAACTAATTGTTCAATATCACATTCATCCATAATACTACTGACATAAATCTAAAACAATAAACATTGTTATTTTGTTTGCAGATTTTAGAAATAAAACTTCACCCACCATTTTTTCATATTTTCGTTCAGCAGATAAAGCTTGACTTTTTGTTGCAGAACGTCCACAACCTTTTCCAAATTTTTCTTTTTTTCTTTGAACTACTGGAGGTATTTTTTGTAAAAGACGACGTTCATTTTTAAATTTTTGTTTAATCGCTTCACGCCATTCATTCTATAAATAAGTTGTTCGAGAGATAAATTGATAAGAACAATTATTTTCTTACAGCTGCGTTTGCATCTGTTGTTGGAATTTTTAATGCTTTAAGTAAAGCTTGTGTAATTAAAAAATAATCACTTGCTTTAGGATATCTATAATGACAATAAACAAAAGTTAGTTTTATATCTACAAAATGTATTTGTATTATCCTATGCAATAAATTGTAAGTATTAACAACAATTTGAAACACGAAGTTGAGCAGTATTCGTCGATGATTTGTATGTCCACGTAGTTCCATTAACTCGTTTTCATCAATGATCAATTGTATATCTTCTGGTAATGATATAAATGCAAAATCTAATGGTAAATTCTGTTGCGATTCTTCCAAATCATCATTTTCATCTTCATTTATTTGACTATCAATATTTGACGTTGTTCCAGATGTGCCATTATTCATATCATTACAAAATAGTGGTGTATCATTGAGTAAATCTTGTGTTGAAGCTATTATTTGTGATGCACTACATATATCAAATGTTTGTTTACTACATTCATTTAAAGTATTTGTTCCATCTAATTGTTCATTTGCTGTGTTATTCCATTCTTTTATCAATATATCACGTTTTTCAGTGAATAATACTCGATCTTTTAATTTTGGAAATAATGCACGTAATTCATCAAATGGTAATCTTGCCAACATAATTCCATCAATTTCTTCTTCTAAACAAAAATCAAAGAAAAATATTAGTAAAATAATATG